AACTATAAGGAACAAATACGATTCATGAGAAAAACAGCTGATCCACAAAATCCTTTATTCTTTGTTGATCTTTCATCCAAGTACTGACAAAGTCCAGCTCAGATGGTTTTTTTAAATAGCATTTGCTAAGTTCAAGCATGTATAGAACAGTATAAACGTGCCCTATCCAAATATCCAGCTACAGTTTCATCAGCTGAACATTCTGCTTCCCATAAATTCACTCTGTGATCCAAAATGCAATTGAGGAATGTCAGCATGAACTTCTAGTTTTTAAGAAAGTCATAAATGACGCACAATAGAGGCAGACAAATAGAATGGCCACTTAGTTAAGCACACCAACCTATTTCTTCCAACAGTATATGGGCAAGTATACTGAATTGAGAGCTTGATTTGTTAAGTAAAGAAAAAAGCAAGTAATAGGGAAGTATTCTGAGGTTTCAGGCATTCAGCTGCTGTGAATTCCAGTCAAGGACTTCCTTAATAGAGCACATCCTGTCTCTGCTAGCTCTTCCCACTGACTTGACATCCACATCTTCCTCAGTAGTGAAGGACACAGACGCCTATAAACATTAATTAAAATTCTAAATTAAGCCCAGAATTGAATTGGTAATCAGGGGAGGGTACAGAGCACTGGAAAGATACATTTTCATTAACATTAAGAATACTGCATTTATGCTTTGCTATTCCACAGCTGAATAAGAATGCCCAGCTTAGGAAAGATTGGCATATACAAGGAAGCCAGAAACTGGGCTGAACAAAAGTTGCAGGTGCATTACTGGATTCCTTAAACCAGCAAATGTCAATAGTCTCCACTTACTTGCCAGAATCACTCCACCAGACTTGAGGAGAGCAATGGCAAGCACAACAGAATACATCCAGCAAACTGAAGATAAAAGGCACCCACTATATATGGCTACATTGCAGCTTCCAGTAGACTAAAATCATGGAAAAGTTTCCTCTCCACAACGCACCCACTGGATGAAAAGCCAACAGCCACATGAAAAAAATGCAGCACGCATGACTACAGATGACCCAGGAGGGAGTTAGAATGAATATCAAAACTGCCAAACATTTCTCTGAAGGTGAGAGCTTGATTGGCCAAGATGGAGAAGCGTGAACAGCCTCCAAACAGGGACTGGTAAATTCTTAAAGTTAGCATGCTACTGTGGAAATACTCTAATGACAAAAACACCATGTGCAAATGTAGAGAAAACTTTCAGACTATAGAACACCTACTGGGGTCTCCCCGTGTATAGGGGAACCATACATCAATGAGGACCTCGCTAAGATTGAGCAATGGTATGTGCCATTATTAGACTCAAATTTGCACATGGTGACAGGATATGAACAAATGATTAGCTAGTCTTAGCTCCTTCCTGGGTGTTGGCAATGGCAGTTGGATTATATCTCATAAAATAATGTGTGAAGAAACTAATTTGGACAATGGATTTGCCTTGTCCTTGTTTCAAGGGCAGATCTACCAAAACTAAGTTTATAGACAGCTACAGAGAAGGTATGGAGACTCTGCAAAACCACTAGGTGCTCTTGAGACTCTCTGCAAAATCACATGAGCCTCTGCATCCCCCCCCCCGAGAGCCACTCTAATTAAAGCATCCAGAGTGTCTCTTGTATCAGCTTCCCCGCACTTCAAAATGGCAGTGAGGGCACTTTATCGAAAGCTTGTCAAATGGAGTGCAGTAATTACCACACTCCAGCAGACTCAGTTCACTCTGTAATTATACAGTGCATCTGAGCAGCCTTGCTGCTCATGGATAGGCACCCTAGGGAATCAAGAAATACAGTATTTTGCTATAATTTATCCATAGCCTCCGGTAGGTTCCATGGACTGTAAAGTTTGAAGTTTCAGCGGATGTTCACAGTCTCCTGTCCCTTAGTGATTCCTTTGGAACGTCCAAACTGGTCTTTTGTTCGTAATCAAGCAGAATTGTTTTTGGAGTCAATGTTATGGAAATTAAATAAGCACCAAGTAAAAACTGAGTAAGGACATGATGGTGTGGGCCACTAGACAATATTTTTTCTTGTAGATCGGGGTGGGCAATTATTTGGGCTGGGGGATTTTGGTGAGCCATTGTGGGTTGGGAGGAGGTAGAGGGGTGGTGCTGACCCAGCCTAGCACAGTAGGGGAGTTTGCTGACCCTGCCTTGGTGGAGGTGGGGGGGCAACTGATCCTATCTGGCTCAGGCCCATCTGCCCCACACTCACCACCAGTGGCACCAGCTGGAGCAGGTGGGCAGTACGGAGACCAGCGCCTGCAGGCAGGGCACGCTCAGTTGGTGGATGGAATGGGGCCACGGGAGGGCAGGGGGTGGTGTCCAGGAGCAGGATGGGTGGGCGGGGGGCAGGGTGGGGGCTAGGATTACAGGGCAGTTACAGTGCAGGGCAGAGCCATGATCCCATCCCTGCATGTCCCTGTACTGTCGCTGCCCCCATCCACTCGTCCTACTTCTGAACACCGCTCCCAATATTCATGGATCCCTCTCAGACCCCATGAGTCTCAATCAAGGTTTCCCACTAGGTGGGCCCTCTTGGTCCACATGTGCCACCTCAAAGGCACCCATTGCCTTATGGGTTAATCATGACCTCCATCCTCTCTTGTAGCTGTGCTTATGCCTCACAAGTGTAACAACCAACCAGTTCAGTGGGTCCTGGACCCTCGTCTCCAGCCCGCTCTGGGCTGTGGGCCCTGTTACCTTGTCTCTGGCCCCCTCTGGGTTGTGGGCCCCTGGCTTGGCCCTTCTCAGTCACTTTCCTACCACTTACCCTGCCCACCAGCAGGCTCAAGCCTCATGTGCATTTCTGGCACTACTGGGACCTCCTGACCTTCTCTATAGTCCCAAAACTGGTCTACCGGTTAAGATTTAAACCCCAAACCTAAGTGCAGTGGCTACAACTTATTTCTCTAAGCACACTGGCTATTTTCTGAAATCCCCCTCCATACTGAATCTAATCCTCTTCCAGCCCTCAGCTCCTTGCTGACATCTCTCAGGGAGAGCAGGATCTCAGGTCGGTCTCTCATCAGCAGGCATCTTACTGCAGAGCTCCGTGAACAGACTGACTGCCCTAGCTCTGGTCTGGATTTATATGCCATCCAAGCCCTGCCCCTATCTGGTCAGACAACTCCCTGGGCCATCTGCAGGTGCCCTCTAATGAACTTTGCTTACTCACCTTCAGGGTAGCCTATAGCAGCAGACCTAGCAGTTGTCTTGCCTTGTTTCCAACACAAGACTGTTTTGTACTAATGCCAGGAATCTCCTAGTATTACAGTATGTTTCTTGCTACTTCCCCAGGTTTCTCTACTATTGTACAATTGCTGTGCAACTAGCACAACAATAGGCACTTCCCATTTATGGCCTCTGGCTGTCTATTTCTTTATAGCTAGCCCCACTCTTGATTGCCTAAGCACAATTTTCTCTTATTTTCCTCTCTGTTACAATACCATAATGTAAATATTCAGTAAATCACTGCCTTTTTCTAAGAGGGATTGTAAGAAAACAATCTAACCCAATAGGCGTTACAACAGAAAATAGTCAAGCATCCACTTGATGGTAAATGTCACCTCTTCCGACTCACCAAACCCAGAAATGAGCCACTCTCAAGCACTCCAGAGACAGAAATCTTGAGAGTCAGCAGAGCGGAATACCTTCTGGGCAGCTTTACTGCCTCATTCCTTGGTTTGGCATGTGCTTCTCAGCAGCACCATTGAGAATATTGTGGAAGTGGCATTAACAAAACACTTTGTACCCCATTTCATTTCTTGGCCACTCTTCAATGAAAACAACTGGTCATGCAGGAATGTGGTAAACAGCATTAATTATGAAAGCTATAATCAGAATGAAAAAGTACAAAGTTATAGAGATTGTATCCCTTATATCAGTGATCCCAAGTTTCACTGACCCCTGGGCAAAAACACTGAGCAGGCAACATCATACTGTTCTCTCCCCATCAGCCTTAGGTTTAACTTTATTTCCTGTGTCTGTGAGCAATTTCCTGGGCCTGCTGTGGTTTGAGGATCATTGCCCAAGATGAAAAGTCAGTAGTTTCATCCAGTAAGACACTTCAAAGCATGGGCGGCACACCATGACATCATAATTGATGTGATATCTGTTCTCATGGTTACTGTGTCTTTGGAACACCTTGAAGTATCTATAGTTTTATTGTAGTTGCATTTGTAATATCCTTTGTGTTCTTTCTATCTGTGACTACCAGGTTTGTGGTTATTCTTCATCAGGCCTTTTATTATGGTTAAACCATGGATAGATCTTTCTAAATGCATGTTCCTAGCTCATTGTCTAAGATCTGATTGTGCTTAATCACAGATATATCTTGGGAAATTATGGTACACCGCAGGCAAGGAACCAAGCATGTGTACATAAGGTTGAATATAGTACCATTGCTACTGTTGTGTTAGGGATGGTGTAGGTTTGGAGACAGTATCTGCATCTGAGTTGCGTTTTTTCAAGTAAATAATTTCACCTGAAAAAATGAAAAGGAGAGGATCACTGTCTACCACTAAGTCTTTTTAACGTGTTAACTTAAGAAAGAGGCATCTAGGACTTTAGGGAGAGGCAAACTTATTAGGACTTTAGGGAGCTTCTGGGCTTCCATGGCTGTTGAGAGATGTTCATCAATGGGTTGAGATTCATGCTTAAAGTATTCTCCTTGACTTAACTATTACACCTGTGCGAAGTGGCTAGTATTTGCTTCGGATTTGGCCAATTTGGGGGACAGTGATTCAATTTGGTGATTTGCATAAATTGCATAAAACAATTTTGCTAATTTCAGTGCTCCTTTAGTAATTAAGCTTTGCTTTTTCATGTCAGAGTTCATTCAATGACTTTCTTTCCTAAGTGAGTGCAACAGCAGTTCTTCTACAGTGTGTTTAATTGGCTACATGCCAGCTGCTGACCAGCACCTGTTGCCACCAGTCCCCATGAATTAAAAATGACCACTAGGATTGTTGAAAACACTGAAGTAAACAAGGCATTGGTTATTCAGTCTCCTGGATTTTGGAAAGCACTGATTTTGTTTGAATAACAATGGCTGAAGCAGCTGTGTTTCCTTCAAAGGAGCCTGAAGGTTCTGGCATGTCCATGGCTGAGGTTCCAACTATTAAAGACATAGAGCAGCTTTTGAATACTGGGCGCCCTTCTTGTAATCATGTTGATGAAGTATGGCCTGACCTCTTTTTAGGAGACCTGTAAGTATAACTTTATTGAATGGCTCAGTAAACTTTAACAGCAGTACTGTATTTTTTGCCTCTTTCAACCTGTTCCATTTCTTGTATTTGTACTTCTTATTAACAAGTGCTGCATTTAGCAACTTTGTTCTTTATCTAGTGAAGATGTTAATACTGCAGGCCCTAAAATCAATTTTAGGTAAAATTCTTCCTGGGATCATTGATTGTAATACAGTTCCAAGAAACAATTCATTATAATTATATGCCATATAAAAAAGACTAAAAACAAATGAGACAACTTTTCCTACTCTGCCAATATCTCTTTGTTACTTTGTTTGTCTTTTTCATAGAGTTACAGCTCACAACAGGTTTGGTTTATGGAAGATGGGCATCACTCATGTTCTAAATGCTGCCCATGGTACAATGTTCTGCCAAGGAGGACATGACTTTTATGGCACTACTATTGACTACTATGGTGTACCAGCCTATGACCTTCCGGACTTCAATATTAGCCAATATTTTTCATCTGCAGCAGAATTTATACATAAAGCCTTGAACACACCTGGAGGTATGGATTTACTGATGATCACTTTTAGATGTTAAATTACATACTACTTTGGCAGGATGGCAGGATATTTGAAAGGAGATATATGTGCACTCCTAGGATGCATCCCCACATGGAGAGGCATGCACTTGCAGCAGCAAAAAAGTAGTGGCACAAAATTGTACAGCTGCTTTTCACCACTGCACATGCCCCTGCATATGTGGTCTAGGGAAGGGGTTCCCAAAGTTTTTATGCCACAGCTTGGCAAACCACAGTCCAGCAGTCATAGCTGACCGCAGCCAGAATTTCTGGCCAGAAGACAGGTAAGGATACCCCCACTCCCCCAACGGGAGGGTGGGCCAAATCCTGCGCTGCCACAGGCCCCGCAGAAGGAGCCGCAGCCTCTCTGCCTGGCTCTGGGGCAGGGAGGCCACAGTTTGCAGTCTGCGGCCACTTCTGGTCCAGCAGCCGACCGTGCTGCGGACTGGCAGCCAACCTGCCACAGCCCGGCCCAGGGCCATGGCCCAGGGATTGAGAACCCCTGGTCTGGGGCAAAAGGTTCCACTTCAGGAAAATGCTTTTCCCTGTTCCTCCTGACTCCCAGCATGCTGGAGGAGCTGGGGTGAAAGCAAAGGAGGGGAGATGCTCTGGCTGGCAGTCAAAGTGTCCCCCAGAAGGGCTGAGCCTCTGTGTCTGCCAGCACATGCTCCTGTAGTGTGCACCACACCACTTCTTTTCAGTGTTATTTTTTTTTTGCAACCGGGATTTTCAGGTAGCAAGTTTTGCTCCCACAACGCAAATTTGCAGTGTGGGCCACATTTTAACATGCTGTGTGTAAGGTTTGTGGCACCACAAACCGTACATGCCTGAACATCTGGATCCAGTCTTGATTACCTGCTAAACACTCGTCCCAATGTTTAAGGATAAGCAAAATCTGTGCTCAAGCATATCGTGAACAATTTCTTAAGGTGATCTCTTTTATTGGACAAAGTATGTAGTTGGGATAAAGTTGGACAAGCTTTTGAATGCAAGGCCTTCTTTGTCAGGTCCTTGCATTTGAAAGCTTGTTCAACTTTATCCCATCTACAATAAAAGCTTTGGTATCCGGCACCCACAGGGAATGGAGGGTGCTGGATAACAAAACATACCGGATAACTGAGCGGCCCGAATAGGCGTCTTTGCCCTTACAAGCCCTTACATGTCAGCTAACAGAGCATACCAGCTTGTAAGGTGCCGGTTAACACAGCTTTTGCTGTACATATTTGGTCCAATAAAAGATATCACCCTAAGAAATCGATGCCTCAGGCATATAGATACACACATACAAGAACCGACAGAACCAAGAAATAAGAGCAAAGGTCTGGAGAAATTGAGAGGCAGAAAATAAAGGAGACCAAATAAAGCCAAAACATTTAGAAAGTAAGCCTGAGTAAAAAGAACAAAAAAATGAATATCTAAAATGAATACTAATAGTAGAAGAATGAACACCAATGATTCCTGAAGAGTATGGAGAAATTATGCTTAATGATTAGGTAAATAAAGAACAAGGGAGAGCATAAGGGCAACATAGTCTGAAAAGAGAGTTACAAAATTAGTCCACCCTTACTTTATTTTAAGCCTGTTCTTAAACACTGACTTGGCCTGAGCCCCTTTGGATGTTATTCATTTTTCTGTGTGGAAAGCTCACAGGCATGGTCCAAGTATCACATTGTCCATGATTCTATTAGAACTCATAGGTTAGTAAGGCTGGAAGGGATTTCAAGAGACCACTTAGTCCAATCACAGATTGAACCTGCAACCCTAGTGTTATTAGCACCATTCTCTAACCAGCTGAGCTAAATCACTGCTACAACTACTTCATCCAACAACACCTTGGAAGAAGTAAGCAACCTCACCATACTGGTTGCTACTAAATTACCTAAAGCAAATTCTCTGACAAGCCCATTTCAATTAATTTATTTATTTTATTAGAGCTCACAAGCAGCCTTGGCAGGTCCAACCTTTTGATACCTTTGTATATGTTAAAAAAAATACTTAAAAAAAATAATGGTATATGTGTAAAGGAACTAAGTCCTGATCCTGCAACCCTTACTCATATGAAAAGACATATTCATTGCAAAAGAATGCCTTACTTCTTGCATAAGGGAGGACAGCAGAATTTGACCTTGAAAAATATGTACAGCGTTAGTGTATTATACAAAGAATAATGAAGAACTGTACCTCTAGTCACTACTGTACTAAAAGAAAGTAATAATTATCTAATGGCACAGAGGGCCATACCCTAGCTGATATAAATTGGTAGTTCTCTAGTGACTGGAGAGAACTACAGCAATTTGAGGTGCTATTCCCAAACAAGAAGGACCGTGCATCAAGGCAAACTGTTGCACAGAAATAAGACTTCTATTTGTCTTTCTGATTAATGTTTGTACCATCCTTCTATGCCCACTTCTACAACCCCAGTTCTTCTGGCTAGCCCCTCTGAAGTCAATGGCCTGGTTCTCCCTCCATTCAGATCAGTGTAGTTTAATTGCTTCCTTGTCTTTTTTCCTTGATTTATACAAGTGTTTTATACAAGTGTAGCTAAGATCAGGTTCTATCTTGATACAACTTCTCAAACTGATAATTATTATTCATGTGAGTAAATGTTGCATAATTGGACTCCCTGTTTCTAGCAAGTTACCATATTTTCTCACATGACACACTCCCAAATAAGACGTGGACCTTGTTTCTGGGAAAGCAGAACGAAAAGAAGAGTTTTCCAGAGTTTTGTTTGCATGGAACAGAAATAGAGTCTAATATTCAGATCACTCATCCTACTTTTACTGTTCAACCAAAAGCTGCAACCCTAGCTACTGCTGAAGGTTGGTCTCCAGGGGTAGATCTACCATTTTAAAAAGAGCTAAAAACAATCTACGTGTAGTAGGCTTACCTTTTCAGGGCTTGGGTTGAGTCCCAGGCTCGAGGGTCTGCTGTTTGTTTGGTGGAGCCCGCCCACCAATCCAAAGGCAGCACAAGGGAAGCAATGCCCCACCCTTTCCCAAAGGGAGGTGGCAAGGAGCAGCTGGACCTCAGTCCAAACTGCACCAGCCAGGTCCGGAGAACTTCGGGGGGCAGGAGGGGGGGCGGGGAACTGCGGGGGGGAGGGGGGGGGGGGGGAGCCCCTGAAGAGTATAAAAGGGGAGTGTGTTCGGCACACTGGGGAGACGACGAGGGACAGCGAGGAGAGAAGAGCTCTGGCGACAGCCATCCTTGGGACCCTGTTTGAGCTTCAGCGGGTTGCAAATTGGTGCATGGGGATTAGGCTCTAGGAACTGGCTGAGGTGGCTTGAGCCTGTGAACCTGGCAAGCGGCTGGGCAGTCGGCGTGCAGATCGGCACACAGAGAGCTGACCTTGGGAACAGCTCAAGGCTGCTCGGGCATCAGGTGCGCAGGTCAGCGCATGGAAAATCACCTTGGAGGCAGCTCATGGCTGCCCGCATTAGCCCTGGCCCTAGGCCAAGTGACCGGAGCCCCACAGTGCGGCTCCACCTTTAACTAAGAGAGCCCTGCAGTGCCTGGGGACCAACCCCTTCCCCCCGAGCTCTGCCGCAGCTGCCTCTGGTGGAGAAGACGCCGCTGCCTCCCTCCACATCCCCGGCACTCATTCTCCACCTGCCTCCTGGCTCTGCCCTCCCCCGCAAATATTTGAATCTGCGAATCCAGAATTTGCAAATAGAGGGTTTCCTGTATTGGTATTGTTATTTGTAAAGGTTTAAAGTAATATTATTGTTAATTGACTTGGGTTATATAGGTTAATATCCATATGTGTTAATTGTGTCGTATTGGTTATAAGTTATTTGGTTCATATTTGTTATTATATGTGGAATATTATATATAGTACTATATGTTGTAAATATTCTATGTTTTATATTAAGTGTCTGTATTTATTCTTGTAATAAATTGTACATAGTTAAGTATTTGCTTTCGGCCTAGCTCTACAGAGAAGGGAGGAAGTCACTCTAATAGCTGACCCCTTCCTCAGCACCTTACCTGACCACCACCACTGTCATTGGAGGACAGGGCACACCCCCCAGGTGTACCCGGACTCCATAGAGGTCTGTAAAAAGACCAGGAGTAGCTAGCAGACCGCAAAAATGCCTAAAGAAAGGTTAGCTTGATTAGTGGAGCATCAAAAAGGAGAGATGGTCATGAACACCTGTGGAATGAAGAGCAAGAGCTATTAAGTCACTTGGATCCCTCAGCTGCCTGAATAAAAATGCCACTGCTTCTTGTTGTGGAGCAGGCATCAAAATGTGCTGCTTCTATTCTGGACAAAAAATGAGCTTCTCACTTAAGACAAGTGCCACAATTTGGAGGAAGCGTGCATATGTAATTTGAGTAAATACAGTATAGAATGTACATACCAGGATTAAAATGAAAGCTTTTTAACTAGATTGGTTTGTTCAGAGTATTGGGGAGGGGTGGGGGTTGGGCTTCTCTTTAATTTAAACTTTATCTGGCATATGGTTTCTCTTCCAAAAACTCACTTTTTTTCCTTTTCTTTTATCAGCAAAAATTTTGGTGCATTGTGCAGTTGGAATGAGCAGGTCAGCTACTCTGGTATTGGCTTACCTCATGATAAAACACCAGCTTTCATTGGTCAAAGCTATTGAAACAGTGAAGGAACATCGATGGATTTCACCTAATCGAGGATTTTTGAAACAACTGAGAAATTTAGACATTCAGCTAAAGCAAAAAATAGGCTGCTGATCAATGAATGGAGCAGAATAATTTTTAAGTCACTTTTTAAATGTCAAGGAATGTTTTAATGAACTTTCATTCTTCATAACCATTGCATGCATTATTAAACATTATCTAGTTACATGTTGGCAAACATTACAGTATACATGTTGGCAAAAAATAAAAAATGCAGACTGGAAAACAAAATAACCACAGCAGTCAACAGTGTGTTAAGAGATTTTTTTGATACCACAGTTCCATTAAAAGGGCACAAATCGGGCCTCATTAAACACTACCAGCTCTCTGAGTACTTCTAAGCCACAATAGGGTTGTTTCCAGGGAGCTACTACATGGCTCCATCATACAGTTTAGAGTAAATGTGTAATTTCCCTAAGCTTGGGACAGGTTTTGGATCTCTCCAAGAATTTTAACCAACTGTGCCACAGAGTTGAGGTCTCATGTATATTAAAAAATGGCTGTATACTGTAATCAGATCCCTTCATTTGGCTACATTTGCAGTCTAGGCAGAACAACATATGTCTCACTGTGTTTCCTACCTTCCATGATGCTGAGAGCTACTCAGAAGTGCGCCCAGTACACACAAGTTTCAGAAACAATCAAGATTCACTCTTTAGAGAATGCAAAGCCCCCGACTTGCTTGCTTGAAGTCCTGTATCTGCAGAACAAACATGATTGGAGAAAGTGTCCCAGTCTTATCAATTTGCTAAAACTGTCCTGATACCACTAGATAATTCAGGCTACTAAATAACTGCTGAAGAGTGATAACTTGGATGCTGCCTGATATAGGCTGTGTACACACATTCAAATAACCTGGGAGTATTTTCCCAGGTTTGTTCTTCTGGTTAAAAAAAACTTACCCAGAGCCATATGTACAGCCATCCGAATACTGAGGCCCTGAAGAGTATAGAGCGTGCAGTGCTGAACCCATGCAGCCAGTGGAGGGGCCCTGTGCACACATCTCAGTGTGCTTTGAAGTTTTCCTTAGTCAGCCCAGCTATAGGTGGTAGCTGTGCATAGGATAACCCTGATTAGCCAGCCCAGATGGCCCATGGTCAGCCTATGTTGTCAGCACGTACAGACATTTGGTCTCCCAGGAGAAACTCTTCTGGAAGTGATTTAACCCTCTTTGTGCCCAGGTTATTTTTCTCCTGGTGTGGCCATTTTTACTCTGGAAGAAAAAGTCTGAACATCTGTATACTTGTGGTTTCTCCTGGGAGAGCAACAACTCTCCTAAGAGAAACTGAATGTCTGTATAAGGCCATAGTGATCCATACTTATGTAAACAGTTTGCAGCAAAGGATTCAGCAAGATTTATAACATTTTTATCTTTTAATACACACACAACCTCTCAACTGCTTTACAACATTATCTCATTTATTTGCATCACCATGAGTATCAAGTGTTAAATGAACTCCCCATGTCATTGCAAGTTTGTTGCAGAGATAGAATTAGGACACCAACATTTCCAGTACCCTCTCCTGCATTGATGCTATCACTGAACTACACTTCCTCTCAATGCAGTGATGAAGAGTGAATTTCTTTTCATCACCTCCCTTTTCAATTCTTCCCCATCCCATTAACAGATTCCGTAGCTCCTCATAGCTTTAACCAACACAAGCAAGCCTACTATCTCACATTCATCGAAGGCATGTGCTAGAATATTTCCAAGTCCTTTCCACCAGCTTCTCCTTCAGTTTATTCCTGATTTCCAGCTTGACCCCTGATTATAGGACTCCTTCCTGGCTCTTTTTCCAAGGGCAGTGACAGGAATTGGTAGCAGAAAAGGTATTCAAGGTTAATACCCTTCGCTAAAACATGTGCCTGTCTCGCCTTCCAGTGCTGAAAATCTTCCTTCAGTCTGCACTCAAGTGTTCTTGCCACACAACTCTGATGCCTTGTCTATATTTAGAGTTTTACTGGTTGAACTTTAAATCAGCTTAAAAATCAATTTAGGCAAACCAGAACAAAATCCTGTGTGAACACAATTTTATTTTAACCTGGTTTATATGAAAATAGCTTAAACTCAGTCAGGTTCTAAATTAATTTAAACCAAGAGCTTAGCTAAATCAATATGAACCAGGTTTAGAGCCAATTAAGTGCATCATTATTTTTTTTTTAAATCATGCTTTTATTTAGAAGTTTAATGTTTATTTAGCACTGTTTAATGGAGAAAAGAATTTTCACACTACAGCTCTATCTGGAAATTATCCAGTTACCTTGTGATGAACTCTGAAGCAAAACCAACTCCATTTTTGCCCTTTGCTAATAATAGGATAATCAGATAGTTTTATAAATGTTCCCCAACTAAATTATATAAATGCACTTCTCATTTATTTTTTTCACTCGAGTCATAAGATCTGATCAGTTCTTCCTATTTGTCAGAAGAGATTTTCAAGGATCTTTGGAGGACTTGAGTAGCAGTAACCAATGAGTGGTACTTCTTATCCACAGCTTTGGGAGATTTTGATTCTTGGAATCTGAGACATGAATCCTGATTCATCCCAGCATTTACACATGTGTTTTGACTTGTCCATAGCTTTCCTAGCACTTCACTGAATTACATCACAGATTTATATGACAGGATTTTTCAGACTTCAAAATCTTGCCAAGCAGCTCTGCAGAAAAGAGGAAGTGAAGACATCATTGCAAAAACAGCAGAAAAATGTTTAAGAAATAACATCTTTAAGACAGTCTTTATACAGCACAAAGGAGCAGAGAGGGATATTGTTTTTGCTTTGAAGTTCTCCATTATGGTTAATGGGGATTTATATGAGTTAATGTGTCATAATAATTTATATCTCACTCACATTACAATAGAATGCAGTCTTTAAGCTGTTTGAAGAGACGGCCTTGAAAAATATAATGTGTGTGTGAGGGGAATAAAGTACCTTAATGGCTTTAGGCTGGGCAAAATTAGACACATGTGAGTGAAATTAATGGATGTTCCTGGCAGGATAATGCTTTGCATGCTCCCAAACATCTGTCCCACAAAGTCACAGCTGCAGAAGCTGTTCCTGTCATAAATTAATGCCTGCTGTCATGGATATCGCTGATCCTGTGAGAGAACTGTTTTATGAGTGGGACAGATGAGAAGTACAAAGCAGAGCTGAGCAGGTCTGGCATCCTTGCCAGCAATGCAATGTTAATGTTCTTGTCGCATAAGAATTACCTGCAATGGACAGAATAGGTCAGCTAGAAAATGTGCCCTGCTTTTCAACATAGTCTGTGTTTCCAGTTTGCTCAAATAGGAATCCCATCCTTATCTGTATCCAGTATTACCATATTCCAGGAATAGCTCTGCTAGTGGAATAAGGCACCAATCAAGAAGAATAAGGATGTCAGAATCAGGCGCTTATGTTTTGAAACACAGTTTACCAGGAAAATAAACTTTCACCAATCAATCATGACCACCTGTGGTTCAGGTGGCAACTATGCATTAGAACCCTGCTACTTTCCATTAGTAAGTGGAAGACCTGCTCAGGTAAATGACTGAGCATTGCAAATTAGCAGACAAGTGAATAGAAACCACAAATATGCTATGCTATAAAATGCGCTTTGTTCAAATGGGTCTGAATTTCAAAAGTATCTAAATAATTTTGGAACCATAGTCCCACTGGAAGTTCAGAGAGGGTCAGATTTTTAAAAGCATTTAGACATGTATACATGCCGACAGGAGCCTAATGAGATTTTTCAAAGCCCCTTGGAATTAATCTTTTTATCATTAGAAAGCAGGAGCACTGCTGAATTCCCCACAACGTATCTGTTTGCATTATGGGTGCCTGAATACTTCAAAAAATGTAGCCCTTTGGCACTTTTGATAATTTCTCCCACAGGGCCTAAGCCATGAGAGGCTGGCAGCCCTCCACTCCAGAGGCATAATTACCACAGTCTGCACCCTGGGATTCCTTCCTTCCCCCAGTAAGGAGGCCCCTAGAGCTGCTAACCCCACTGCCAATGAAATTATTGAACACAGTATTTGCCTTTCCAATCACAGCCTCACCTAAGAATTCTCTTTCGTCCATGTATTCCCTTTTGTTTACTTAAGCATGCCCACATTTTACTGCACCCAGCTAAGTATTTGGATAAAGGAATCCAAATCTAAAATGGAAGGCTAGGAGGGACTTATTCTATAAATATAGAGAATATATATATTCTCTATATTTATATAGAATAAGTCCCTCCTAGGATTGGGGTTACATTAGAGGGATGAATCAGGACCACATAGAGCAGAGGTGGGCAAAATATGGCCCATGGGTGAGATCCAGCACACCAAAGCATTTTGTTCAGCTCTCAGTGTGTCCCTTGGCCCTGCCTGGCCCAAGCACAGGGAGGAGCCTGAGCCATGGTCCCACCACCCCCAGGCATGCAGTGGGGCTGGGACAGTGCAGTGACTGGACATCATTTCCCCGCAGTGGCTCCTTCCAGCTGCTGCTGCCAGACCCAGCCCACTGCCCAGGTATCCCAGCCTGTTTGTCCCCCCCGCCCCACAACCGCTGAGAGTGGGACCTGCACAAGCAGGGTGCACAGCTGGGCAGGTGGGATGGGGCTGTGGGCGGGCAGGGAGCCACTTTTGGGAGCAGGACAGGTGGGTGGGGTGGGGGCTGGGATTATGGGGTGGTCACAGCATGGAGCTGGGACCCACAGCAGAGCCAGGATCTGCTCCCTGCATGCCCCTGTGATGGGTGCTGGTTCTGTGGGTAAAGGCATGCAGGGAATGGGTTGTGGCTCTGTCTTGGGCCCCGGCCCCTGCTGGCACCACCCTATGATCCTGATGCCAGCCCTGCCCTGCATGCCCATCCCACCCCAGATGCTGTCTCTGCCCACCTGTGGCCCCATCCCAGCTTCACAGCCACACATGGACCACTTAGGGAGTTTTGGTGAGCTGTTGCAAGGGGGGCAGGGCGGGGGGAAATGTGTTAACCCAGCCCGTGACAGCTCACTAAAACTCCCTAAGTGGCTATTCAGCCAAAATAATTGCCCACCCCTGATACAGGAAGTATGTAGGGTGACATTCTACCACCCAGCACACAACTCAGGTAAACAGGTTTTATAAAGATCACCATTTGCATGCGTGCGCATGTGTGTGTGTGTGTGTGTGTGTGTGTGTGTGCACGCGTGCCTGTGCACACATGTAAGACCCAGCTGCAAGAGATTAAGTTGGTTTCTGCATTAGAGAGGAGCTTACAAGAGGCTGATCAAAATCATTCTTCTCTCTCCTGGCAGTGCATAAGTTCAGGACTGCCTAACCACCATTATTTTCTAGGCAATCTGAAAGTTTCTTAAAGGAAGTATGGATTATCTCAATTATGATGCATGTCAGTTGTACTTTGCTAGACTTCAGGAGCCAGAGGTTAAAGTCACAGGTGATAGGCTACACACTCCTCTGGTGATAAGAAGGTTCGGTTTTATTCCGGGTTCAATTACTTTAGCAAAGCTCATTATTTTCTTGGGGAGAGGGTAAAATTAAACAAACCAGCATTATATGTATAACAGAGGCTATTGTTTCTTAATGTTTCTACTACAGAGAAAGTCAATATAAATTACCTGGGGAAACTTTATTTTGTAAATCTCTCTAAAATGAACAGTGTCTTAGTTTACTAACCTGTTGACTACTCTTATTACTAGTACCAGTCACATCTGGACAGTAACACTGGTATTGCATCTCTCTGCTGGAATATAAAGACACATAATTTATAAATAGATCCGGCTGTCCCTGGAACCTACATACTGTCAACCTTGGGATGCAGTACTACATTTTAATTAATACTTGTTTATTGCATAATTTTATGTTGCATTAGTTAAGGTTACTGCCTTTCCTTTCCCACTACTGGTATGGTACTGAGTTAATTTGGGAAAATAAATAAAGGCTTAGCCTATTTAAAGACATCCACCTGTTTAGAAACATCAACTGCCCACCAAGAAAGCATAGTTCAGCAAAAGCTCTACTGCAAATACTGAGGCAAGTCTCTGACAGGCTCGTGGCCATCTAAGTCAATATATGCCAATGGAGCAGTCAGGGTCTGAAGAGAGTCAGAACTTTTCAATCCATGAACGCTTCAAACCTGACATTCCTTCTATCAGAGAGCTGGAATGTATTTTGGACAGCTGCAGGATGGAATTAAACCATGTGGATGAAGTATGGTCTAATCTCTATATAGGTGACATGTAAGTGTTATTTACAGCTGACCTATTCTTTAGGATATACAGCATATGGTAATCTATATTGTCCAACTGTTTTACTTGGCTGTATTGGATAAACAACTTAGCAGTCTTAAAGGAGACCTCCTGAATAGAACAGGGGAGACTAAAATAGCACAAAATCAAAGTGACAAATATTTCCCATCTGGAATATTATCCCTATTATTTTATTTTACTTAACTTATAATTATTTAAGAAATGGATTTTACAAATACTCCAAACCTTATCATATTGGTGTGTATATCACTGAGACTTGAAAAAAGAAAAAATGTTCTTCAAAAGTAGACAGCTCTACTATCCACACAATTTGTTTTTCAGCAGAAAGGCCATTTTCAGTTTAAACCAATGCAATATTCTAGGACTTGTTTGCCACGCACACTGATTTCAGCTAAAAAATATGGCCACTTAAATTAAATTGGGCCCATTAATAAAATTTGTGTCTAATGGAAGCTATTTTTGAAATATTTTTTCACTCTTACAGAGGTGGAGTAGCTACAATATTCTTGTATGTTGATTCAGCAAAGCACCTGACACATGCTTACCTTTAGCAAGTTCTTTAGTAGTACGAGGCAAATGGAATGTAAGAACATTTTAAAAGTTATACGAGTACTTAAGCAGTTTCCTGAATCAGCACCTTAAATATGAAGATGGGTTTACAAGAAAAAGCTTCAGTTCAACTCCTTCCTCCAGTGCCCTACAAAATAAATTTCCTGAACTCTTGCACGCAGCATCTTACCTTTGGAAAAGGTTAGTACAACTGAGAAAAAAATGGAAACTTTCCCCACAAAGTATCCAACATGCGCTTTTCTCAAGGTTGCAGTAATTCTTTGAAGTGAAACTATTTTGGCTCCAATGCTACTGGAACCTCACTTTTAACCTTAATCAAGTCTTTTGTTTAATAATACGCTGAAAAGAACTTACCTTCAGTTATGTAAAGATATACCAGTTCTTATAGTTCCTTATGCTTTTTGTACAAACATAGCCTACTGTCATTTAGAAATATGATGATGCTTAGTAGGGCTCTTTTTCTAGTAAAGTGTGTTCCGTGTTCATAACTTCATGTTCAATGCTAATGCGATTGCTCACATGCTAAGTGAAGCATATGGTTAACTATTTGCTAGAATACCATATTAAATATGAAGGCATTTGTTAAATGTCAGAGGTGGGTAAATTAGGCCCGAATCAAAAAAGTTGTTTGTACGCAAAGCTCCCAATGAAGTTAATCAGAATTCAGAACATGGAGGGGCTTTCTGGCTTGGAACCAAACTGGAAATTGTCTGCTGCCCTGGTGGGGTCCATTCCAACTTTACAAAAGTTGTGTACATAGAGCTTGTTGAGCTGAGTTCAGCATGGGTGTTTGTTTCTTTCTCTAGCCTAAGAAGGCATAGATTTATGCAAAGTAGACAAGTCTAGAACCTGTTTTTATGATTATATTTTGAAAATGAAGTCTTAATAGTGAACAGATAGAGGATAAAAAAGAAGCAAGCTTGTGTTGGGGAAATAAAAACATATGTTAAGAAATTACAACAATATTTTACATTTCAAATCTGCAAATGCAAATTAGGAGTTATAATCTGCTCCCCAAGTGTAGTCAGTTAGAGAACTGTGTAACTGAGGGCTTGTCCATAATGATGATTTGCCATAATTACTGTTGGTAGCTGGGACAAAGGAGGGGCAGGGACAGAGTAGTTAAGATGTCTCATTATGGCAAAATTAATTCAATTCTTACTCTGGACTCATGCTGAAGTCACCCCAGTTCACCCAGCCAAAAATAGGTACCTGGCTGTTCAGACTGTGCTTTCAGCTACAGAAACTTAACCATGCCAGATTGACACTTCTGAATTTTGAATTTTGGGGGGTTAATCACTGATGTTTAGCCAGCTGGACAATTCATTGTGAAGAGGCAACACAATTTGTCCTGGTGCAGGTATAACAGTAGCATAGACCTAAGAGCAGAATTCGGTCAGTTGAATTAAATGTCTGTATTATATGAAAGCAGACAGCTTGATTTGGCTCACTATGGTCTAAACTTCACTGACTTCACTGAACTTTGAATCAGGCCGTATGACTTGGAAAACACCTCTCTGGATTTTTAAATGGATCTCCCTTAACCCTCACAATTGCATTATGAGTTTTTACTTTGTAGGACTTACTCAAAAAAGGAAAACTTTGCAGAATGGATGGTGAAAGTGAAAGTCTCCAGGTTCTCCTATTACTCCCTAATTCATAGGATCTTTGTACCCCTGTTTTGCACACTCCTCTATTTTGAGCCTCTCCTTATGATTCCTAAGGGTATTCACATCCCAGATTGTGGTTTGCAGTTGTATTTTAAAGTGCTTTTATTTTGTTGAAAGGTTAGATAAATGTTGAGAGGGAAATCTTGCCTTTTGTAGAAGCACAGGAAACCAATTTATTTAAAATCATTAGCTTCCTTTTTTTGGCTTGGAAACAATATTTTCACGTGAAATGGCAAAACTCAACTAGCTGAAAATATAGCTATTACAGTAAAGAGCCAAGGTGAGCTGATCGGCTGAACAAGACCACAGATCTTAACCACTGGAGGCTGAGTAGAAAGAGAAAGTTAAAAATTTAAATCATAACAAAAACAAAACTGCAGAGGTTTTTCAAGAACAGTTAACAGGATTGTTGTCATAGGAAGTTACACACACAGTGAGAGGGGGTGCTTTTGAAAGAAACAATGTCTCTTTTCACAATAACATGCAGTTGTACATTTTCAGCATCTGCTATAAGAGCATCACAATAGCAACCTCAACTTTCTGTTTTCCACTTCGTGTATTTAACATGCACACAACAAACCTCAGAGTGTAAGGGGTATTCAGCTGCTCACAGAGTAACACACAATGAAAAAATGAAGTGCAGTGAGCTGACTGCATGGAATCTTTCACATCTCGTTCTTCATAGGTTGATAGCACATGACAAGAAGGAGCTGCGGAAACTTGGCATCACTCATGTCCTGAATGCTGCACATTCAGCATGGGGAAGCAAAGGGGACCAAGGTTTCTATGGCCCAGAAATCCATTATCATGGCATAGCTGCAGAAGATTCAACTGATTTTAACCTTCGCATGCATTTCTACCCTGCCTCCAAATACATTAACAAAGCACTGAGTGTTTTGAATGGTAAGAGCCTTTTGATGATAATCCTCCATATTTGTGTGGCCAGTTTCAACCAAGGATCACAAACTGCTTTGAAAGCATCAGCTAAGCCTTACCCAACATTGATGGGAGGGAAATATTATCTTCCTTTATGGGTAGGACCAAACTGAGGCACAGGGAGGTTTGATTAACAAGATAAAAACAAATCAGGATGTAATGACACCTAGTTTTTAAAAGTAATTCTAGGTTGATTTAACACTACACAACACACTGGAACTATTTACTTTACTGAGTATGAAAGGTCTTCCTTCTCACAATGTACTTTTAGCTAACAACAATGACAGAGATGTGCCAATAAGAGATTTACAAAAATCAGGATTTTTCTGTTTCCTTCTATCATAATTGTTTCAAGACTCCAGACAGAGAAACTAATTACTGTTCATTTACAGAAAGGATCACTGGAATTTCCTGAAGGTTAGAATACTCCACCCATCATAAATTAGGACTCTGTGAACAACTGGGCAAGGTAGAATCACCAACAGGAAGGACAGGCAGTTTTTCTACCTATGAAAAACCTTGAAGGAATCATCAGGGAGAGATTCAATCATTGATTCTGTCAGAGGCTCTGTAAACACATCCCCTGGCAACTGTAGCCACACACAGTCTCCAGGTGGCAAAGCTTATTTCTGGGCATTAATAGCCCTTATGACAGGCCTACTTTTTGTCCCCGCTGCTTCTGGGAAGATAGTCTTCCTTCAGAACCATTCACCAAAAGCTTATGGTAACCAGGAGCAAGTACCTCACAGGTGACTAATGTCTTGTAAACTGAAGTCTGACCTATTTATTTCTCATCCCCTTCCATGCTGTGCTGGAACACAAATATGCTTGCACAAGGCTAACAAGAATTTGTACCATAGTTACATCTTGGGTGCAGTACCTGTTTTAATGCCCACAAACAATATTCTAAGTACCTATAATTATCCACAGGAAATATGTGACACAGACAGCAGCTGTAACACTGAGCTTCCCTCATAGTACCCCTTCTGTATGCTTTAGTACCACTGCTAATAGAGCAATAGCTATTGCTCTATTAGAGGCTTCCTTCAAGGTTAGTCATTGGTAGGACTGCCTTCTCTTTCCTGTGGCCTGAATCCACCTTATCCAAAGGTGTAGTTAATCGGCCTGTCGAAGCGGCTAGTATTCACTTCAAATTTGGATTTGGCTGATTCGGGGGACAGTGATTTGATTCGGTGATTCGTCACTCTCCCAAATTGATTTTGCCAAATCAGCCAAATCTCCGAACTGGACAGGCCCTATCCCCATCAATGGCAGCCCTGCCCACCCCAGCTCCCAGCTCTTAAAAAAAAAGCCCTGGTCACTGGCTCCTGTCAGGTGGGGGGGTGGGGGTGATCCCCGTTGCCCCCTGCTACCCCATGCTGCATGGGGAGCTCTGCCATGAGCCCCCAACTCCCACCTGCTCTCCCAGCCCCCTGCCCCAAGGCTAACCCGCCCAAACCCAGCTCCCAGCTCTTTAAAAAAAAACGAAAAAAAACCCCCATTCACTGGCTGCTGCCAGGCAGGGGGGGGATCCTTGCTGACCCCTATTCCCCCACGCTGCAAGGGGGCTCTGCCATGAGCCCCCAGAAGCCCCAAGGCCACTGCAGCAGCTGGTGAGTGGGGGCTTTTTTTTTTTTTTAAACAGCCGGGAGCTGGGCCAGGCAGGGCAGCCATGAGGGAGGCTGGGACAGCCTGTGGGCAGCGAGCGGGGACTGCCTGAATCCCCAAAGCTCCCTGAATCAATTCAGAGGGTTTTGAATCAATTCAGACCTTTTTATTGATCTCCTGATTTGATTCAGATTCAGAGATTTGGCCGCTGAATCAAGCCAAATCTCTTCCAAATCAAGTCAGCACCCAAAGCTTTGCACAGCCCTAGTAGTTAGGTTTCTGTGGTCCATTTATTTCTCTGTCAAGACCACTAATAATGTTGCATAATAGCAGCCTAATCTACTAGGCTGTGGCCTTCCCTCCCCCTAACTTTTTCCTATGCTGGAAGACAATGGCTCTCATATCAAAATAGATTGAGGCCTTTCAGTCAAGTTGGATTCAAGGCAAAGTCCGAGAGATTAAAGTTCAGGCAGTCTATCATCATTATACTAAGCTCCCCAGCCCTCATTGTGACGCTTTGAGGAGACAAGAATGTAACTCGTATTTCTCTCTCTTTTTCAGGAAAAATCTTGGTTCACTGTGTGCTTGGTAAAAGCAGATCTGCCTCTCTAGTGCTAGCTTATCTTATGATCTACCATCACTTCTCACTAGCTGATGCTGTAGAAAAAATTATCCTGCACCGAGCCATTTTCCCAAACCGAGGGTTCCTGAAACAGCTGCAGGACCTAGACATTGAACTGCGCTACAAAATAAAATTGTGTGAGCTTTTATAACCTGAGGGAAAAGGAAAGATCAGTATTGGCTAAATACAAAGGAAGCATCCCAAACACAATCATAAAGCATAATGAAGTAAAATGATGATGAAATTAACAGGGAGCAAAACTCATGTGCCAAACTCTATCCCAGCCCTAAAAGTTGGGAAGATTTTAGATCTGGCTCTGAATTTCACATCTTGCTCCTCTCTGTTGAGTTAATTTTGGTTTGACCAACTCTGGGTAGAACTTTTTTAACTAACTTGGGCCTGCCTCCTTATTGACCCTTGATTTTCATGCTCTACCAGTCTGGGACTGTTGTAGGATTCTAGTTTCAGAGTAACCCCTCCTGAAGAAAACCCTGAATTCCTATGTCTTTTTTAGGTATAGGATGCTTTAGTTATATTAGGGAGTGGGGATTTTCAGGGAGCTTGAAGCTTCCCACTTTCCTGGAAAGTTCTGTGAATAAATGGGGTTTCTTCCCATCTCGCTGAACCCCATGGTTTCCCTCACCCTGTCGTCAAAGGGGTCATAGGAAAGCAGGGCTGGAAGAGACTACACAAGGTCATCTAGTCCAGTCACCTACTCAAGGCAGGATTATCCCTGACTAAACCATCCCATTCCTCTGCTACGTTTCAAGGCCATTGCTGCTACCCCTGTTCTAGTTCTAGTCATAAATACAGGATTATTGCTGAATTTCATCCAGTCAATTTTAGACCTTTTTCTCTGGTTTAGCCCAGTCATTCTAGCTCTTACCCTTCCCCCCATCTCCACCCCATGTCTGCAACTCCACTCAACTTGGTGTCATCTTCAAATTCACCAAGTGTACACTGAATCCCATCCTCCAAATTATTAATACAGGTGTTAAACAGATACCAGACACAGGAGACTCTGGGAAATACCACTTGATATGTACTCCCAACTAGACATTGAGCAATTGGTAACTACTTGTTGAGCATAACAATCTTCCCAGCTACGTATCCACTATACATTTCTTTAATTTAATCTGTACTTCCTCACCTTACTAAAGAGAATGTAGTGGGAGACAGTGTCAAAAGCCTTTTTAAAATCAAGGTACATCACATCTACTGCTCTCCACCCATCTACAGAGACTGTTAGGAACATAAGGAAATTAAGTTGGTCAGACTTAATCTTGGTACGGTACATCCATGCTGGCTGTTCCTGATCAACTTGTTATTTTTTAGGTGTTTAGAAATAGAATCTGTGAAGACCTGCTCTATGATCTTTCTCAGTATCAAGGTCTGACTGACTGGTTTGTAATTCCACAGGTCCTCCTTCCCCCTTTTAAAGAAAAGCACTCAAATTGCCCTATTCCAGTCATCTGGGAAGTCACCCAACCTCCATGGGCTCTCAAAATCAGTAGCCAATGGCTATAGAATTACCTCAATTCCTTCCATACTGTAAGGTGTATCCCACCGTTCCCTGCCAACTTGAAAACATCTAGCTTCTCCAAGTAATCCCTAACCCATTCCACTACTATTCTAGGTTGTTTGTGAGATGTCAAAGCTCAGCTAGCCAAAAATACAGCTATTACAGTAAAGTGCTTTAACCTACTGAACAAGACCACATATCTTAACCACTGGAGGCTGAGTACTGAGAGCTAGTTAAAAATTAAAATTATACCAAAAACAAAACTGCAGAGATTTTTCAAGAACACCAGACAGGATTGCTTTTTTTCCACTGGTATCAGCTGCATACATCTGGATACTTTCTGAAGAAGGGTGTTGCAAGTCTTTCCTAGGAGTTTTGTGGCATTATTGGAAATATGCCTTTTCCACTGTTTGTTTCCATGTCTCTAACCCTGTATATTCACTAAGGAAGCTACTTTGAAATAAACGGGCAAATGAGAGCTAGTAATTTTTGCTAATAAGCAGTTTACTTCACACACTCAAAGGGAAATTATGGCCAGGCTATAACATCTGGTGCAAACAACCTAAACAGCCTTTAAAATAAAATTCCAATGACTGACTTCTATATGCAGACTTGTATCCCAGAAGGTTCTTTTGCTCTCTGCAAGCTGATTACATCACTTCTATATGGGTATAACCAAAATTGAAACGCAGTGCCCTTTGGGGTGAAAGGTGGGCACTGCGTTTCAATTTTGGTTGCATCAGTGCAGACCTAAATTGTGCAATATTCAGGTGCAATATGAAAAAACACATTGAGAAAAATAAAACTCTATGCTGAATTTTAAGTAGGCAAATACAATTATCCATGAGAATTTGGCCAGGGCATCAGGGATAACTTCCTTTTCATATGAAAATAAAATCTCATGCTATTACAGGACAAGCTAGGCCCACTGACATTAATAGGATTTAAAGAAGAATGGTATCTCACAGGATTAGGCCTGTAATACTCATTAAACTCATAGGATGTTGTGGCCACAGTGAGAGGGGGTGCTTCTGAAGGAAACTATGTCTCTTTCCACAATGACCTACAGCTGCACATTTTCAGCATCTGCTATGAAAGCATCACAGTCGCAACCTCCACTTGGTCTTCTACTTGATGTATTAGCGCACACACAATAAACCTCAGAGTGCAATGGGCATTCAGCCCATTTCATATCTAATTCCTGGTAAGTACAATACAAGGAAGAGCTGAGGAAACTTGGCATTACTCATTTCTGTTTAGGACTACCTGTCTTCAAGACTCCAGGAAGAGAAACTAATTGCTGTTCATTTACAGGTAGGATCACGAGAATTCCCTGAGGGCTAAATGTACTCCTCCTAGGCTTCCACAAGCCAGTGAGTGAACTTTGAGGACTGAAACAGGAACAGTTTCAGTCACCAATTTTGTCAGAGGCTCCACAAACACATTCCTTGGCAACTGCAGCCACACCTAGTCTCCAAGAATGCTTACACAAGTTACAGGGGTGTAAGTTGTAGCCATGTTAGTCTAAGGACACAGGCAGTAGGCCTGTCCGAAGCAACTAGTATTCGCTTCAGATTCGGCCAATTTGGGGGACAGTGATTCGATTCGGTGATTTGAATCACTGTCCCAAAATGATTCAGTGGAATCTGATTTGGAGATTCAGCTCCCACCAAATCGGCCGAATCTCTGAATCAAACAGGCCCCATCCCCTGCCTACTCTCCCAGCCCCATCAATGGCTGCCCCACCGAGCCCCAGCATCCTGGCTCTTTAAAAAACAAAAACCCCACATTCACTGGTTCCTGCTAGGTGGGGGGGTGTGATCCCTGCTGCTCCCCATTGCCCTGCGCTGCATGGGGGGGCTCTGCCATGAGCCCCCATCCCCCACCCACTCTCCCAGCCCTGTCAATGGCTGCCCCACCCAGCCCCAGCCTCCCTGACCTGTAAAAAAATAGCCCTGCACTCATTGGCTGCTGCCAGGTGGGAGGGCAATCCCCAGTGCCCCTCACTGCCCTGTGCTTTGTACACTGGGGCCAGGTGGGGCAGCTGGGGGAGGGGGAGGGGGGGAAGAGCAGGCAGGGCTCAGGGGATGCTCGGGGGGCTGCAGAAGCAGGCAGGAGATGGGGCCATGCTCCCCTCTTCCCTCCTCCAGCCTCCCACACCATTTGCTCCCTACTTACTGGCATGGAGTCTGGGTCCAGCTCCCTGAAGCAGCGAGTGAGGACTGCCTGAATCTCTGAAGCTCTCTGAATCAATTTGGAGAGCTTCAAATAGATTCAGACCTTATTATTGGTCTCCCAATTTGATTAGGATTCAGAGATTTGGCTGCTGAATCACCTCCGAATCGAATCAGCAACCAAAGCTTTGCACAGCCCTAATAGGCAGACAAGGTTCTTTGGGTAAAAGTATGATATCTTTTATTAGACCAACTAAATAGTTGGAAAAAGTTTTCTTAGCAAGCTTTCAGGTTTTTGAAAAAAATTTCCAGCTATTTAGTTGGTCTAATCAAAGATATCAGATTTACCCAAAGAATCTCGTCTGCCTTACACAAATTACATTTTGTGTGTGATTGGGCCCCTGAAAATGCTCTGCAGTCATGCTGTAACACATGTGCATGGCTGCAGAGCACCTTTAGAGTGGCTGATCACAGAAAAATTGAACGTTCCTCAAATGGGATGTTAGATAAAGGGCTATATATGTGGTAGCCATGTTGGTCTGAGACAAAAAGACATAAAAAAAAACTAGAACTCTTGGTTCCAAAATGATACCTTTTATTAGACCAACTGGAAAATAGCAAGAAAACTGTACTTTTCTTCAAGCTTTTGGGATCAAGGTCCCTTTGTTAGGCTCTGGGAAAAATGTAGATGTTACAGGATGGTAATAAGTCCCCATAGGTAAGAAATAAACTTCATTTTTGCACAGAGAGCTGAAGATGGAAGGCTGTCCCTCTGGGTCCATGAGAGTGTCTTTGTGAGCTGTGTTGAGTAGCTCTTTGATGTGTTGATCAGGTAGAATTACTTCCCTGGAGGTGTCAGATGGCAGGCAGGGAGGTGAAAAAAACCAAACTTCCTTGTTGTTCTGCAATGAAGTTTAAATCCAAAATTGATCCCGAAAGCTTGCAAAAAAGGACAATTTTCTTGCCATTTTCCAGTTGGTCTAATAAAAGGTATCATTTTGGAACCAAGAGTTCTAGTTTTTTGTGTTAGATGAAAGCTCTTTGCTTTAGAGCACCTTGGGGAACTTGTATTCAATAGGGTAATTTTTCACACATTGGGTGGGCTGATGCAGGCCAGCCTTGCTCCCTGGGATGTCTATGGAGAGGGGGGAGGTGGAAGAGGAGGGAGAGGAGGACTGAAGGGACCTGGGATGGGTCCATGAGGCACAAAGGCTCTATTCTACCCCCTCCCCACCTCCAGCTCAGGCTGGGCAAGCCAGCTACTCAGTGCTGCTCGCTTTCCCCTCTCTGCTTTGCCTGACCTGAGCTGGAGGGTAGGGGTGGGAAGAGTGTGGAACAGCACCCCCTCACCTTGCAGGCCCAGCCTGAGCTACTTGAGGTGGGGACTGTGTGGTGGGGGGACTCTGTTCTACCCCCCCAACTCCAGCTCAGGCTGGGCAGTAAACCCCAGCTGGCAACTTGGAGCTGCTCCATCCCTCCACCTTCTCCTCACCCTGCTGACAGCTCCGGAGCTGGGATGGGGGAGGGGGAACGGTGTTCTAACTCATAGCGCTTTATATAAAGTGCCATAAATTAGGGTGGGGGGGGGGTCTGAATGTCTGTCTGTGACCATAGTGGCACAGCACATTTCTGACTAAAAGAGATTGGGCTTATATCTTCCCCTGCTGCTTCTGAGAAGATATTCTGTCTCAAAGCCAGTCATCAGATGCTTATGTCAATCAGGAGCAAGTCTAGCTCAGAGATGGCTAGGAGACTGAATTGTGACTCACTACATTTATTATTAGTAACTCTTCCATACAGTGATGAAGCACAATAGGTGCTGACATGAGAAGCATAATAGAAATATCTGTACCATAGTTATATCTTGGCTGCCATGCCTGTTTGAGTGCTCACAAGCAGTACTCTACAGTAACTGTACTTTTCCACAGGAAAGGTGTGACATGGACAGCAGCTGCAGCATATCAAGCTTCTCCCACAGTACTCCTTCAGCATGCTTCAATATCATTGCTGACAGAGCAATGGCTTATCCCTAGTGGCTCCCTTCAAGGTTGGTTGTTAGTAGAAAAACTGTCAGCTCTATCCTGTGGACTGAATCTACTTCACAAAGATGTAGTTAGGTCTCTGTAGCTGATTTAATTTTCTGCCAAAGCTGCCAACAATGCTGCATTACAGCAGTGGATTTTGTTTAGTGGATGCCTGTCCACAATCCTTTTGGCTGAGCAGACCCCCTGTCCCACAGCTATTTCCTCTGTCGGAAGACAACAGCTCTCACAACATAATGATTTGGAGCCTTTGACCCAAGTTGAATTCAAGGCAAAATCTATGAGATGAGAAGTTGAACAGTCTATTATCATTATAATGAGTTATCTGAGACCCCCATTGTGACACTTTTCTGAGCAGACAGGAGCAATGCAACACAAGTTTCTTTCTTTTTCAGGAAACATTGGTTCACCATGTACTTGGTAAAGCAAATATGCCTCCCTAGTGCTAACTTATTTTATTATCTCCCATCATTTCTCACAGCTGCTGCTATACAAGGTGTTATTTAGAACAAGCCTTTCACCAAAGTGTGAGTTTCTTAAACAGCTTTAGGTGTCAGTGGGTGCATCTACACATGCTCACGAATGCACAGTTGTTACTACTGCACTAAATGACTGCACAGTAACCACCGATACAGCATAGTCCTGGCACCACAGCAATCATTTCTGACCCTACTGTGCAGCAGCAATGGTGTCACGGTTCATGCCCACTGATGCTACGTCACCATAGCTCATTGCTACAGTGATGTAGCATCTCATGTAGCTGCACCTAGTTTATACCACAAGCTTCTTAAGGCAGAGAGTTTCTCCTTCTGTTAATATACCAGACATACCTATAACTTTATATAAACAACCGTGAGCACATCTACACAAGATAGTAACTGCACAGTAGTGTAATACTACTACGCAGTACTGTGTCATAGCAAAAACCATGCTAATATGCTATTGCGCAGTAGTATTAGGTTACTGCGCAACTAGCATTGCTAAAAATCTGTATGCTGGCACTAATGTGCAGTAGTGTCAATTACTGCACATTGATTTAGTACTTGGTTATACAAGTACTAAGCTTAATGCACAGTAACTATGGTGCATTAATTAACTTGTTGACATGCCCAGTAATCCTGAGATGTTCCTTGATCCTGGTTCTATTCTCAGAATTTCCAATTCTTTGAGAAATTTTGCTTTGCAGTCCTATATTTTGGGGGCTTCCTCACCCAAGGAATACCACAAAAAATGTACCTTATACTCAGAAACAGCATGGAGTTACCTCTCACAGCCCTCCAACAACTGCAAAGGCATAGTACATCTAAGTAGACAATATCGAGATGGGAAAAAACAGATGAGTAGGTAAGCAAACAGCAGTAAAAGAGGTGCTGA